GTGGTTTTTATTGTGAATAATTAATAAATACAAAGGGAAAATGTAAAAATATAATTTTAGCAAATTTAAAATTTATCACCTCAAATATACAATACTGCTTACATCTTATATTTTACAATGAAAAAATTATAATCATTTTCAAATTTAAAATTATACAAATTCAATAAATTTTTATTGTAATCACTTATAAATTCAATGTTATCAAAATATTAAGAAAATTCAGTATTCGTAATTTTTAACTTCCCGTAGGGTAGTTATAGTAATGGGCTGAAATCTAAAATGAAAATTTTTGCATTTCTCGACGTTTTAAAGGTTTCTGAACATTTTAGAATACCTCAGAGAAAAATGAATGTGTGTGTATGTGTTTTGTGCGTCCGCATTTTTTCGTTCACGTTTTCGGGCGCACGGATCAACCGATTTGTATGGTTTAAAAAACATTCGATTCCTATTGATAGGGAGATGTGCTGATTAGATTTTGACAAAGGCAGATCCAGCCGTTTCGTAGATACGGACCAAAGAATGCAGAAAATAGAAATCGACTTTTTGAGAGACCGGAGTATCCGATTTGAATGATCTAAAAAACATTCAATTCGTAATGACGGGAATAAGTGGTGTTTAGTTTTTGGCAAAGGCAGGCCCAGCCATTTCAAAGATACACAGCTAAATGTGCAAAAAATGGCAGTTTTTGGGAGAACCAAGCGTCCGATTTGAATGATTCAAAGCAATTTCTGCTTGTTTCAACAAAATATTTGCTTTTGAAAAAAAAAACAATTCTTGTTTCATTTTTTTTTCAAAAAGATTTTTTTATGTATATCGAAAATAATTCAGATTTTAATTTAAATTTAGACTAAAGTTCTAATATACTTTAAACAAATTATTTCAACTTTGCAATTCATTTTATATAATTCTCATAAATATTAGACAATGTTACAGCATAATAATCTATTTGAAAACATTCAATTATTCCTCGATCATTTCCTTTAGTTTCAGCAATTTGCCTTAAGGCACGATGCCATACACCACTAGTTTTGATTTTAGGTTGCTTTAATATTAATTTACTTCAATTTTAACTATTTCAATGTTTTTCTCATTTCTATTTGAATTTTAGGCCTTTTTGATTTAATTAAATACCACATTCTATTATTCTTCCAATAAAATGATTTTTTTTGTTTTTAAAATACCCACTTCAATTATATTTCTTGCGTTTTTTCTTGCACATAGTTTGTGAGTAATTTTATTTTAATGTAGAATTATCTGCTTATTTATTGCAGATTTTTATTAAAAATTTCTAAAGCTTTTTTAAATAAATTTATTTAGTTCATAACAATAACATAATTCTCAATATTTTTTTACAAAAATATGTTCATATTAAGTTAGAGAACTTTTTTATCAGTCTCAATTTTGTTACAAATACTTAAAACTTAAGCACTATTTTCCTGCTTTTTTATTTTTTTTATTTGACTGTTGTGGTTTGTTCTTTCTACTTGGTTCAGAATTTGTTCCATTTTTAATTTTGTATACTGGATATTCAAGCGTATTTCCATACCGGTAGTTGCATGCCACAAGAGTAAAATTAAACATCATATTATTATTCTCTAATCGTTTTTTATAAGTACTGACAGCACATCCTACTTTAGTTGTATTTCCCCAGATCAATTGGGTATAATGTCCAATGGGTTTGCCACTAAAATAGTATATTGCTTGATAAAATTTTGATAAATAGTTGTATATTATTTTAATGTAGGTATGTTAATTACGAGATAAAATTTTGGAACATATACATATACATAGTCTAACTTACTTTGGGTATATGGTGGTCAATTTCTCGATATCTTCCAACCTCGTATCATTACTTTCAGAATACCAACCCTCAACTGCCATTTTGGCTATAGTTTTATTTGTTATGGCATTACCAGTCGTTCCATAGAAAAATAGATTTTGACCAGTGTGACCATGCACTAATTTTGAAATAAAAATAATTAAAAAAATAATAATTAACATATAATATTTTCTAGAAACAAGCTTACTAGTATCAGCACAATCGTGCTTCATTTCGCACTGTCTTACGTTAAATATGGCTAATTTGGCAAGGGCATCATTCCATTTCTAAAAAAAAAATCAGCAAACTATATAAGAATATAATTCGAATGTATTGTTTTTTTACCAAATCGGGCATTTTTGCGGCTGGTGGAGTTTTCTTAGCACCATGTTCTATGAGACCTTCTCCAGATGCAACAAGTCTTCTTTTCTCATTATGTTCCTTTAAGAAGGCGTCCTGCATTTCTTTAGTCATATTTATAGGTTTAAAGCTACTTTTGCACGATTCTGGTACTTTCTGAAAGAGAATAAATTAATACAAAAATATACCTAAAACTTTATAATATTTTGATATAATCTGAATATTATAATGTAAACATAGTACCGGTTTTGTGCATCCTACATTTGGTCCTCTTGTACAATTTCTCTCACAATAATTTTCTTTTGGTTTGGAGCTTACGGAAACCGCAAAAATTACACTTAAAAAAACCGAAAATACCAAAATAATGACAAATTGTGAATCTAAAATATATAAGTAATATTTTATTTCAAAAAATTGCATTAAATATAATATTTTATTCTCCATATCAAGCTTTTCTATAATTGCAACTTACTCATCATGATTTTGCCCAATACTGCAATGAATACGAAATTTTAATTAGATAATTGGGACATAATTTAATATATTTATATATGATTAGTTTCTTAATATATGGCAAATAATATATGATAAATTGACAAATTTCAATACTATTTGCTCAGTTATGCAAAGTGTTTTGCTTTTTGGCTTTGTTATTGAGTATAGATTTGCATGAGTTCAATTTTGTGCAGATGTGCATTTGACTAAATAACAAATATAATCATAATATTATAAATGTATTATTTGTCCATAACACTGCTACATCATTTTGATTTTAAGCTGAGTTATAAAACTTTGGAGTTACTTCAGGGTTTTTCGATTTTTTAATATTTGGAAAAAATCTCCCATTTTATATAAATTTTCTAATAATTATTTATTTATGATTTCTTAACTTTAGCAAACTACTGAGTAATGCAGTTAAAATTTCCGAATGCTACCTCAGTTTGAATAAAGAAACACAGTTAAAATTTTATCTTAAAATTCTAAAAATTATCAATGAATTTCTACACCAATTATTTACACATTTTAATTTCTAACTACAAAAAATCTGTCCACGTATTCAATATAATTTTTCATAAGGTTTTTATTCTGGATTTCGTAATTTTTGAGAAATATTTCAATCGTTCAAGTGAATATTGAAGTTAGAAAAAAAATTTAAAACAGTTTTTAATTTTTAAATTGTAAAAATGTACAAGTTAGCAATATAAAAAACGTAGAATTTTTTCTTAAATCAGGTAAATGTTAGTTTAAATTTGTTTAAAATTAATTAATAGCTGAAAAAAGATTTCAAATCCGTTCTCATGTATACTATAATAATATTGCATAATATATTGACAAGGATTTTGTTTGATATTTAGCATTAAACAAATATTAGCAAAATAAACAAATACGAATTATAATAAACACTTCACAAAATTTTCCTATATAAATAATTTTTTCTTAAACAAATATTTTTTAGCTAATGGGGAACAAAAATATTTTTCATCATCTATTTTACGCAGGAAAAATTATTTATTGATTTTAATATATTGAAAAATTATATAATCTGAATATAGGCTAAGGTAAAAATGTTCAGTCATTTCACTTTAGAAAATTAAGAAATCCTATTAAATAAATTAATTATTGCAAATAAAAGCATTTGTAAAAACTGAGATTTTTTTTGTAGACAACTTTATATTAGTGACTTTTTATTAAGTCGTTCTTATAAAGGAAATCTATTAGTTTTTTATTTATAGAAATAAGACATTTCTTTGATAATTCAGGAAAGAGTCGATATTGAAGTTTGACTTCTTCCTGAACTGAATGTCTTAGATAGAGTAAGGTTGCCTAAGTCGTACCTCCTACAGAAATAATGCTATAACATTTATTGCAATTTAATTTTTAAAAAATCTTGGGCTATAATGAATATATATTTGATTTGCTTATATTATAGTTGACTATCACTGATTTGTTTTCCTAAAATGGATTTTTACGTGGTTTCCTAAGTCGTACCACCTGCATCCTTAGTCGTACCAGCTACAAAAATTTTTTAAGAACTGATACGATTTGAGCAACCTCTTCCAAAATACAAAAGTCCTCTTTCACAAAATTCCAAGAACAAATGCACCTCGATTAAACAAAATTCAAAGGACAAACATTTTGTACTGAAGGCAGAAAAAAAGTCAACTTCAGTCCAAAATGATTTCCATCGCCGTCTTTTCATCGTGTTTTCATTAATATTCGACCAGAATAATTTATACAAAGTTCTCTTTTTCAATAGAAAAACGTTTTATCAAAAGCTCCGTCCTTTGATGACGACAGAGCGAAAATAAATTTTTAATGCCCTGAATAGAAGGCGGAAAATACGGTTGTTTTTGTATAATTCAAATTCTTTGTAGTGATAATAATTTTTATATTGAAAACATAAGGTGGAAATAAATATTATCTGATGAAATTTTTTGAAAAATATTTTTATTAGGCGAACGGAAGCTCGGGTTCAAATTAATTTTTCTATCGATAGGTGAGCGTTATAAAGTATTTTCTGACACAAAATTTTCAAAAAATATTTGTATTATGCAAACAATGATAAGCTTCAAAGGATAAACATTAAATACCATAGCAACTCAAAAAATTTATACTTCTTGAAAATTTTGTTTTTTAAATAAAATATAAATAGTTTTTACATGATGTGTCTCCTCGTAAAAGAGATGCCATGAAAAAGTTCAGTGTTTACCCAAGGAAGATTTTATGAAATATTTTTAGTTTATTTTTTTTTATTATTTATTATTATGTTATTAAAATATATTCATTTATATTATTACTTATGAATTTTTTTCTATTTCAGTATACAAGACAGAAGGATCGTATGTTAGATACGTATTTTATGTGCGGCCTATTGATTTACCATTCTGTGGCATTAGTGCAAATTATAGCATTTCCCTTGTAAGTAATAAATACAAATTTAGTAGAAAATTGACTATACGTTAATTACGAAAAAATGGTAAAAAACCCAGTTAATATAACTCAAATAGTACTCGATTTTTTACAACCGATTTGAAGGAAAATGTTTCGACTTAAAGTTTTGAGACTTGTGGAGCTATTTTTGAGAAAACTTTAAAAGTAATCAGATTTTTGTTTAATATGCAAATACATACTTTATTCGATGTTTATTTAAAAAGAATTATTTGCACGTCTGAATACCGGAGTTTTTGTTGGAAATTCAAAAACTATTATAATTGTAGTATTTTTTTTCTTATGGAAGTTAAATATCGAGAGCAACTGCAAAATTTGTTTGAAACTTTTTTTTTTAATTGCTATTTTATCTTAAAGTTAGTTAAAACACAAAAAGTGTACAACATACAACATTAAGTGTTTTACATAAATATTTTATTAAATAATATGGTATCTTACAAAATTATAGAAATGAACAATAGTATAAAATTTGAAATAATTTAGAGTGGCGTTAAGTAATTAACATAAAAATATTTGAATTAATTCACAGAATAAACACTTTCTTTATATTTTAATTATACATAGTAACAAAACACATGTATTACTTTCAAACAAAACTTGTAACATTTTATTATTATTGTTAATTTATTATTATATTTTATTATTAATTTTATTCATGAAATTATTCTTTTTTCAGAACTATTTTCAACCAAGTATGTATAATAATTTTTGGACTGGTAGTTATAACCATATCTGCTGTTGTTTTCTCCGAAAACCACAAGGTAGTTATTCACATTTTATATATTTTTATTTATTATTTTTTTTAAATTATTTGTTTATTTTATTCTTACTATTTTGTTACAGAAAATGCCAAAATTCATGCAAGATTTATCCCAAAAAATTCACAGCAATCGAACGGGTGCTCAAATTTTAGCTTTTGCTGTCGTTGGATTAATAAAATGTTTAGCTGATTCGGCTCTGGTAAGTTCCTTTATTTGAATTTTTTTCATTGTCACTAATCCTGTGAAATCATATATACTAGTACTTGATAATTCATAGCATAAATATTTAAAAATTATTCATATTTTTGCTCTCATTATACTTTGTAAAACATATATTTCATAGTTTTTTCGAAAATTATGTTTACATATAATTAAAACACACATGAAATACCTATAAATATAATTAGAGATTTTAAAATTATATTTAATAATTATTTATAAAATTGTTTTTTTTTAATTTTCATGTTCATTGTGCAACATAATTCATAGTTTTCACCAAAATTATAATTGTTTGTTTGATTATTTTAGTTTAATTTTTTATCTTTATTATTTCATACTTTAATATTGTGTATATATTTACACACACAGATATATATGCACAATATGAAGAAAAATGTCTTATAAGTTAGAAATAGATATAAAAAAATTACAAATTTAGAAAAATATAATTATGAACATATGAAATAGCATAAATTTTAAAAATTTGATAAAAAAATTATTATATAAAAAAATGATCTTAATGTATAAAATGGTAGACTAGAAAACTAAAAATAAATAATATGCAATAACTCACCATATTAAAAGAAAAACACAGAAAAAACACATAAAATAAATATGTGTTCACATATGTTTTATATGTATTAATGTAAATAAAATATATATATATATATATATATATATATATATATACGAGTATATATATAAAGTGGGAATATTTTTATTAATTATTTTTATTAATTTAATAATTAATAAAAAATTATTGTCATATAAGTTATTGTTATATACATTGGTGCATCATATTTTATGTGTTTTTCCTGTATTTTTCTTTAAATATATATATATATATATATATATATATATATATATATATATATTAGTATCATCTATTGCTCATATTACGAACCATTTCATCTCCCGGAGATGTCGCTATCATTTTTACTTGGCCTTTGATTTTATTCTCAAAATAATAAATATATACATAATATTATTTACCAATGTCTTCATATATTTTCTAATTTTGCAGATTTTGTTACCACTAGAACTAGATTGCCTAAACCAAACACTGAACGGATTTTACAATCTCAGTGCTGAGCCCGAATTTCCATGTATAAATTTCATAGTTTCGGATGTAAGTTGGGACACAATTTTCATTAATTATAAATTTTAATTATTTAATATAATTTATTATATTTTTTTCAGTATCTTCTATTACTAAGTATGTTGGCCATGATAGCCTGTGCAGCCCAACAAGTTTTGGTAACCGCCTTGAAGACTTTACTTTTGCTCTGCATTTGCGTTGCTCAACTTTCTGCAGTTATGACACATTATTCAAAAGTCGATAATTTGATCATGGAATACACCAGGTATGGTTAAAATTATTTTACATTAATTCATTTGTATTTTCATTAGACAAATTTAAACTTTTCGCCTCTGCTGGCCTTTGGAGAAGAACGTCAGTCTGGCATAACATTTGACTGTCTTCTCAATGATGATAAAGGTCTTGAGTTAGAAAGGTTGCTTATTTTTAGAATAAATCTATAATAGTGTTGGTTTTTCAAAATTTACTATTAATTATTTTCTTATTAATTTTAACTATTTCTTATCATATCGTCATTTTTTTTTAAATACGTTGAAACGACCGAGCTATTCTGTTCATCAAAGAAGACAGAAATATACGAACTATATTATTAGATATCCCTTTTGGAAATTGCTTTAAACTTTATCATACTGCAGAAAATAAATTTAAATGTTGTAAGTTTGTTTTTCAATGTCCACAATTTCATATGAAACAAATCGTATAACATACCCAATAATATCAAGTTTACATCAGGTACGTTTTCGTCAGAATGCGGTACCGAATTGCTAGATTGTGTTTTAATTAGTTTTACTGTTTACTGTTAAATATACTTTATTGTACTAATTATTTTTCAATTTCGATCATAATTAGTAATTTTTATAATTTTTTTTATTAGTATTGAGCCTTCGTGGACAACAAGATGGGTCGATGCCGTTCTCCTGTTAGGATTTATGATAGCACTAATTCTTCATAGTCAACAAACCGAAGCAACTTATAGATTAGATTTTATATGGAAACTTCAGGCAACTGGTAAGAAACATCATTTTTTCTAAATCATAAAATAAAAATATTTATAATAATATATAAGGTTTTAAATATTTTCTTAACACGGTGATCGATATATCAGTCGTATGTGTTTGACTCTAAAAAATATACAAGAGTCCTGTCAGACATGTTTCTAAAATCCATAAAAAATGTGAAAAAAGTATGATATATGGGGTAAGGTTGCTTAAGTCGTACCACTTCAATACATGGACATGTCAGTCATATATGTGTGACATAAATAATTGTGTTTTTCTAGTTTTTTTGATACATTTTTAACTAAATTATCTAATAAAGTTACCATGGCCCATGTAGATTTTTTTTCTGAAATAGTGGCGATTAACTTGTTCAATTATCATATTTCAATTCTAAATATAACTCAAAACAAAATTTATTTCTAGTATGTTTTAAATCATTTTTTTTGTAATTTCAGAGGAAAAAGAAGACATGGAGCATTTAGAAGCCTATAATAGAAAACTTTTAGCCAATATTTTGCCAGTACATGTCGCCGAGCATTTTCTATGTAACGTGAAAAATATAGATGTAAGTTTGAAATTAATTAAATAATTTAATAGTATTTTTTCTGTAATTTTTAACTTCCCGTACGGTAAGTTATAGTAATCGCAAAAAAATCGAAAATGAAAATTTTTGCATTTCTCGACGTTTCAAAGGTTTCTGAATATTTTGGCATACCTTAGAAAAAATGGATGTATGTGTGTGTGTGTGTGTGTGTGTGTGTGTGTGTGTGTGTGTGTGTGTGCGTGTGTGTATGTATGTGCGGATACAAATTTTCGTCGACGATTTCGGGAACACCGATCAACCGATTTGAATATTTCAAAAAACATTCGATTCGTATTGATAAGGAGACGTGCTGATTAGTTTTTGGCGAGGTCAGGTCTAGCCGTTCCGAAGATACGGGGCAAAAAGTGCCGAAAACGGTAACTCCGTTTTTAAGAGAACCGAGCGTCCGATTTTAATAATTCAAAAAACATTTTACTTGTATTGACAAGGTGAACAACCGATCAAATTTTCATAAAGGTAGGTCTAGCGGTTTCGGAGATCTAATGAAAAAAGTAAAAAAAAATGCCATTTGGCGGTCAAAAATGATCATTAGACATATGCACATCAAATTATCAGATATTTTATAGAGATTTTAACAATAAGTATAATTTTGGTTCACATTCCTATGGGTTCCGTACCAATGTTTACGCGTTAGACGTCGACGCGGCGCTTACGCGGTTTAATATTTCGTCTTTATGCAGTTAAAGCCGTACGATTGCTTTGAAAGAAAGTTTAGATCTTTCAAAATATGTCAAAATAAAGAAAACATTTTTTTTTCAAAAAAAAATTAAAAAAAAAAAAATTTAAAAAAAAATTAATTTTTTGACTAATTGTTTGTCAAAAATCTTATTCTTTTGAAGTAAATTTTTTTCAAAAATGTAAATCGTTTTTTAAAAAATAATAATTTTTGGTACGGGAAGTTCCAGCAATTTGCCTTAAGGCACGATGCCTTAATTGCCTTAAGACAGAATTCCACTTACAGCTAGTTATAGTTGTCATTTACTAACATTCAACATACCCTTTGTATGTTTGTGCTAAATTATAAAAAAAACAAATCCGTAATATATTGCTAATTTAGTTCACAATGTTCTATTATTTACTATATAGCAAAATAATACAAATGAAATTTCAATGTGTAAAGCTAAATAATTTATATAGATTTTAAATATGATGATATTTAAAATCTATATGAACTTTTGTGAAAATCTATGTAATTTTTTTGTTTTTTAATTTAGGACGAAAATTGAAAATACATGCGTTATAGTTTTACATTGAAAAAAAATACTTTGTTCTTTGATTGATCAGCCGTTTTTATTAAAAATCAAATCAATTGATCAGATTTATTAGAAAAATTATACTAAATAAATAGATAATAAATCAGGTTCATTGAAAAAATTATACTAGATTTCCTTGACTTTATAATTGCCATTTTTAGATTTAAAATTTACTCAAAATTTAAGAATCAATCTTAGCACAAAATTATTGAAAAAAATTGCTTGGACTTTATAGTTGTCATTTTAAAATTTAAGTTTCTCAAAATTCAATAATCAAAGTCAGTACAAAATTATTGAAAAAAATTGCTTGGACTTTATAGTTGTCATTTTCAAATTTAAAATTTTCTCAAAATTCAAGAATTAATCTTAGCACAAAATTATCAAAAAAAAAAATTGCCTTGACTTTATAGTTGTCATTTTAAAATTTAAGTTTCTCAAAATTCAAAAATGAAAGTCAGTGCAAAATTATTGAAAAAAAATTCCCTTGACTTTATAATTGTCATTTTCAAATTTGAAAATTTTTCAAAATTTAAAAATCAGCCTTAACACAAAATTATTGAAAAAAATTGCCTTGACTTTATAGTTGTCATTTTAAAATTTAAGTTTCACAAAATTCAAGAATCAAAGTTAGTACAAAATTATTGAAAAAAAATGGCTTGTAGTCATTTTCAAATTTAAAATTTTATCAAAATTCAAGAATCAATCTTAGCACAAAATTATCGAAAAAAATAGCCTTGACTTTATAGTTGTCGTTTTCAAATTTAAAAATTACTCAAAATTTAAGAACCAATCTTAGCACAAAATTATTGAAAAAAAAATGGCTTGGACTTTATAGTTTTCATTTTCAAATTTAAATGTTTCTCAAAATTCAAGAGTACAAAATTATCGAAAAAAAATGCTTGGACTTTATAGTTGTAATTTTCAAATTTAAAATTTTATCAAAATTCAGCAATCAATCTTAGCACAAAATTATCGAAAAAAATTGCCTTGACTTTATAATTGTCATTTTCAAATTTGAAAATTTTTCAAAATTCAAGAATCAATTTTCACACAAAATTATGGACAAAAAAATTTTGCTTTTTTCAATTTTTGAGTATTCTGAGAAATCAAATATCGTTCTACATTAGTAAGACCACCTTAAAAACCTTTGCTAAATTTTTTCTTGATTTTTATTCATCAATTAATAAAATTTGTTAAAAGTTTTAAAATAGTTTGTTCGATTTATCAATTCAACAATATTTCTTCCACGAAAATATATTATATTGCTTTGACTTTTATATTTGTCATTCTTCAAAATTCAACATTTCTCAATATTTTACTCGGTAGTTAATTTTCTTATTAATTCTGAATTGTTAAGCAACAAATATCTACTGCAATAATATTAATATATTTAAAACAGGTGTGAAAATTATTTAATTTTTAAATAAAATATTTAATATTATCTATTATTTTTATTTTTAGGACTTGTACCACGAACAATGTGACTGCGTCTGCGTAATGTTTGCATCGATTCCAAATTTTTCCGAATTTTATGTCGAACTTGAAGGAAATAATGAAGGTGTTGAGTGTCTTCGACTATTAAACGAAATCATTGCAGATTTCGATGAACTTTTATCCGAAGAACAGTTTCGATATATCGAAAAAATCAAGAGCACTGGTGCTACTTACATGGCGGCATCAGGTAGGAAAATGAAAAAAATAATTACTTGGGAAAAAAAAAATTACATATATCATTTTGTACTTAATTTTCTTACTATCTTGTAAAATAAAAAAAGATATGCAACTTTATCGGTTACATAAAATTTTGTTTGACTTTGTAATGCAATGCTGTGAACACAGATGGCGTTAAGTTATTAAATAGATCTAACCAAGCTATGATAAGTTTAGTAATTTTTTTTTAATTATTTTTTTTTCAGGTTTAACTAGAAATACTTGCGATATGTTAGGCTATCGTCATGTAACCGCGATGGCAGACTATGCCCTAAGACTCAAAGAACAATTATCCAACGTCAACGAGCATTCTTTCAACAATTTCCGAATTAGAATAGGTAAATAAAAGGGTCTTGGGTTTCTAAGAAGATTATAAATTTAATTACCTATTTTTTTGTTCTAGGTATTAATATTGGACCTGTTGTAGCCGGTGTTATAGGTGCTAGAAAACCCCAATATGATATTTGGGGAAATGCTGTCAATGTGGCTTCTAGGATGGATTCTACTGGGCTTCCAGATCACATACAAGTTAGTAATTTTTTTTTTCATTTTTTAATATTCATCACTATGTTTTTTTGCTTGTTTTATCACATGTTTGTGCTTAATAACATATCTACTACACGAGTACGTATTTTTCACTGTCATTATATCTCTAATCATAATCGATTTTTGGCAAAATCTGATGTTTTTTACGAAAATATCTCCTACTCAGTTGGCTTTCTTAAATCCCCAATGATCAACGATTTTTAGTCAAATATGATGTGTTTTCTATGGAAATAGCTTCTGTTTGATAAAAGGATCTCTAATAGTGATCGATTTTTGGCAAAATATAATGCGTTAGTAACAGAAATATCTCCTATTTATTTGCTTTTCTTAGATCCCTAATAATCAACTCTGATTTTTAATAAAATTTGATATGTTTCTAATAAAACGGGGCTTCAGATCATTTGATAAAAGAATTCAAAATCAGATGTTTTTTACGACCATATCTCCTACATAGTTGTCTTTCTTAGATCCTGACTCATCAACGACTTTTAGAAAAATTTGATAAGTTTTTAACGAAAATAGCTTCATTTTGATAAATTTCATGTACTTCTATATTTTATCAAGTCATTCTGAATCCTTTGGCATACAATTTAACAAAATATTGTTTTTATGGAAACAATGGAAATAAATTTTGTATATGTTGCATCTGAGAAAACACAATAATATTTTGATGTAGTGTATCGGATCACCATATATTTTTACATCTTGCACCACCAAGAGCTTGATCACACTTTTGGTAGATGATACCTAAATATGATAAGATTCGAAAAATTGTAAGAAAGTGTCATTTAGCCAAAACTAATGGGAAAAACAATTAATTCGATATTCCTATATCTTGGGATATCAAGAATTATAATAGCATTATGTGCTATGATTTTCTATATTATGTGAGTTTTATTAGAGTTTTTTGACTATCAAGTTTAAAAGTTTTTATAAAAATATTACGAATATAGTTCTAATACTTATTGCATTATGCGACTTTAAATAAAACTTATTCCTAAGATTAAAAAATTTTAAGCAGATATCTCGCGAATGTTAAACTTTAGGTTAAAAATTCTTTTGTAGTCGATTTTTTATATTTGAGCCAAAGACAGTAAATACATATCTTAACTGGTTCAAAAGTTACAAGCATTCAAAATGGTAAAAACACAATTGACGTCCATCCTAACCAGTTAGCCTGCAATATAAATTTGGACCATGAGACTAGCATGATCTCATTTCGTTTTTTTTATTCACGATATTTTTCGAGCTATATGACCTAAAGTAAAAATTGGCGGTAAAATTCGAAAGTTTTAAGCGAATATTTTGCGAACGGAAGTGAGCTACAGTTTAAAAATTCTTTTACGGCCTGCGAGTCTAGTCAATTTTCCTATATTTATTCAATCAATGCATTTCAATGAGTTCAGAAGTTACAAGCGTTCTGAATATTTGAAACACAATGGACGTCCATCCTAACCACTTTAGCTACTGATCTCATTTAGTATTTTTCTTTTTTTGCAATTTATTGAAGAAACCAACATCTCTGATTTTATTAATTTGCATCTATATTAAAAATAGTGTTTTATTCCCAAGTGTATGTGTTCATTGTATTGAAATTAGTGTTATTGCATGACCATTCAAAAGAAATATGACCATGCTCTTCGCCGTTCATATATAAATGCTTGATCATACATCACCGACACCAAATATCTTCTCAGCATTATCAACACCATCAGCACTATCAAAAAATCATCAAACAACCAAGGAACCAACAAGTCTGTATCTAAGTGTACATTAAAAAAGTGTTTTGTTGGAAAGTGTGTTGTAAGTTGGATCATCAGATATCCCACCAAAATAATGCATGACTGTTTTATTCAGCAGAAACATCTATCACTTACACTTAAAATCTATCTCAGTATCATCAGCAGCATAAACAAGATCATCCAAAATCTCAAAACTAAGGATCTGACATCTATCACATGTCTGACGATTATTAAACCGTAACCAAGTGTATATCAAAAATAGTTCTTGTTGTGTTAAAATATTGTGTATGTTCACTGTAGTGTATTTGATTCATCACACATCATACCAAAATTAGTGTAATTGCATGACCATCTAAAGAAGCATTATCACATCTTTGGAAGATTAATAATAAATGTTTGATTAATAATAAATATTTGTTTTGATCATACATCACCGACACCAAATATCATCTCAGCACGATCAGTACTGTCTAAAGATCATCAAAAATCTATTAAAATTAAGGATCTAATATGTCTGCATCCAAATGTACATCAAAATAGTGTTTTGTCCTAAAGTGGTTAGTAGGGTTTCTCGGTTTGTAAAAACCGGTTTTAAAAACCGGTTTTTTGGCGAAAATTATGGAATTCGAAAACCGGTTTTTAAGTGAAAAAAGCCGGTTTTCACTGTATAAATGGAAAATGACAAATATAGCCAAATATAAAAGATAGATGAAAGCGTTTTGATTCTTGAAATCATATCGGTTCAATAGCATTTGATATCTTATCAGTCTGCAATGGTTCCCAGAAAGGTTTTGATATATTAATTTAGATTTTTATACCAGTGTATATATTTATTTAAATCAGTGTGACTTTTTCTTCAAGAAGTAACTTCCTCTATTCAAACTTAAAAAAAAAGTTTCAAAAACGCTAAAAGCCACAAATAAAACAACAAAAAACTTAGAATTGTTATATCAGGCTTTGAAAACAATTAAGCATAATTTGGTCACAAGTATGAGAGTATCTTCTATTTCAAGAAATTTTGTGAGTGAATGATGTTTAAGTAGCAATTTGATAGACGTTCTCAGTTTTTTGAAATCATATTTTATTAAATAAAAAAACAATTAGAATGTTTAAAATTAATTAATTAAAATTGCTCGGAACAGACAATACCCGAATTTAGCTTAATTGTTTTCAAAACTAAAATTGATATCAACAAGTATGTATCAACATGTATCTAATATTTTTTATTCGTTTTTTAATTTAATGAATGTTTTTCGTTTAAAAATGCATTAGTTTTATTTATTCGAAAACATTCCTTTCACTATCATAAAAATATTTTCATTCTTATATATAAAAATGATGCATGAATAACGAATAATTATTTTCAAAGTTATTTAATACAGGTAACTATTTTTTTGTTCTACCAATTAAAATTAAATAATTAAAATAATTTTGTTTACTATCCATCAACGCTTTAAATCGCGTTAAGTTTGCGGATAAATTTTTGTTATTACAGAATATTCAAGCAAAAATTTATTTACTATATAAAATTCGAAAACCGGTTAAAACCGGTTTTATGGTAAAATTGAAATTCGAAAACCGGTTTTCTGAAATGTCGGTTTTTGTATAAACCCTAGTGTTTAGTGTGTTGGATCATTCACCAAATGTGTTATTGCATGGACCGTTCCTTTCAGCAAAACATCAATCACCTACACTAAAATCCATCTCAGCACCATCACCATGAACAAGATCATCCAAAATCTCAAAAACGCATTTCTAAAAAAAAGTGCTTGTTGTGTTAAAATATTGTATATTCACTGTAGTGTATTTGATTCATGTTTCATCATACATCACACTAAAATTAGTGTTATTGCATGACCATGACCCTTACATTCAGCAGAAGTTTTTGGAAGATCATTAATAAATGCTCGATCATACATCACTGGCACTGTTTCATCCTAGCACAATGCACAATCTCAAGAATTAAGGAAGCCAATATTTTTAAAATTTTTATCCAGGTCACCCAAGAAGTGTACCAGATCCTGCACGCTCGTGGGTATCCTCTAACCTGCAGAGGAACAGTTCAAGTAAAGGGCAAAGGTAACATGGTCACTTATTTCCTGAATGGACGACCCAACGAACGCAAAAACCTACAAATACCACAACCTGCAGATTCAGCAGATCCTGGTTTAGTTGCACCTTCTGCAAGCCAACAAAATCTGCAACCCCAAAATATTATACAACCTTACCAGGAGGAGGAACCCATGGACGTCCAGGAAGATGCGAATCTTTTAGATAATATGCAGAGTAGATCTATAGTCAGTCCTGCAAAATGTAGTGAATCCAATAATGTTCTGGTGAATCCTAGGATTACACAGCAACAAAGGGAGCAGTCTAGACATTCTGTTTGTGCAACCGAATCCAAACATATTGTTGCAAATGGTTGCAATACGAGGCGGAGAAGTAAATCGGCGGAGTCTTTGAGCAGTTTTTGTTCGAATGTTAAAAATGGAGGTGCTCCTGTGTTGGAAGACATTACTAATGTGTTTAGGACGGCTGTTGTAAATGAATAGATGAAAAACTTGGATGCAAAAATATTGGTTGGTTCAAGAAATTTGATCCTTAGATTCTGATTAGACGTGAATTTACCATTTCCAAACTTAAGGGGGTATTCTAGTGTAGAGCGATGAATTTTAGGTCATTTTTAAAGTGTCGTAAAAGATAGCAATTAATGTTTTTACTATCCATTTTTTACCACTTGTTTATTAATATTATTAAAATACAAAGCAAAAATCAAAAAATAAAAAAGTTGAAAAGTGTAAAAACTGGCAGCTGATGAAGTGGGTGGTCTCAAAACAATTGGCACCTCAGTCTTGACATGATTTCAGCCCTCCTAGCCATCCGAAATGCTAAAAATAAAAATATTATTAATCTACAATGATGTCGCAATCGCCCGAACTAGCGATGAGTAAAAAAAAATTTTTTACAAATTGGCGACTGTTTGAAAAAAAAGTGTTTTTTTACTGTTTTTTTTGAGTTTCTCGATTTTCTTAAAAATAGTAAAAATTAGAATTTGGGGATAATCCTAGTTCGGGCTATAGACAGGTCTATAAACAAGACTCTCTGAACATTTCAAGTAAATCGGTCGAGTAGAACTCAAGAAATCGTGTCAACAGTACTGAAAAAATCTGTTCTGAGAAAAACGCATTTAAAGTTTTGCGTGAAGCCAAACCAGTATGGAGACCGAATCAGTAAAATGCC